TTAAATCAAATGTGTTATTTTTTTAATAAAATATTAAATATTAATTTTAGTAATATAATAAAATTTATAATACACGTAATTCATTGCTCTCAAAAAGATATTTAATTTTTTCGCATATGTGCTAGTAAATTTCAAATTAACGGTCACCACCTGGAATCGATAAATAATCACGTGAAATCGATCACCTGAAATGCGCAGAAAGACAATTTTGACGACGGGCAGTCAGTCATTAAAATAGATAGATGATAATAATGTATGGACTTAGCCTCTCATTTTGTTTAATTACCAATAAAAATACATTTTGCTCATAGTTTTATTTTTTTTCAAAGTTATTATACAAACTGATAGATAAATACAAAATAACGAGATCTCGCAAAAACAAGAGTTTTCTTCCTTAAGATTTTGTGATTCATTTAAATGACGAAATTGCGGATAAGATCTGAGAGTTAGTTGTTATGACATCACTTTACTGTTTAAGTTCAACTAAACAGAAACGTGATTAATACCTGATATTCATTATGTGTTCAAAGCTTCCGCCTTTTCGGCAATGGATCCATTACTTCTATTTCATCGTTTAACTCTTGATTCACAGATTTCATATTTATTTGAATTAATGCCACAGCTTTATCCCTAGGAAGAGTAAATGTCCCGATCTTTTCATCTCCAAAATAAAAAAACTGCCAACCATCTCTTAAATCTGTTAGTACGGCTAAAACAGCATGTATAGATTTTAAATCTCCTGCGGTCAATTCTGCCAAAGCTTGATACAAATGTCCGTCATTAAAGAATTTCTTCAGTTCAAAAAGGATCCGAATGTGATGTTGTGGGATCCTAGAAGAAATAGAAAACCTGTCTACTACAGTTGCAACTGTAGTACCAACGAGTCTTATTGGCAGGATGTCAGTACTCATACTAAGAAAATTACTATGACCAGTCGTATCATATATCTCAAGTTTCCGATATTTGGAAATTTGGAGTATCTTTCTAAGATGAGGTATATACCTATCTTTTTGTTCTCTTTCTGGTCTATCATCCCATTGGAATGCATTACTCTTTGTTTCATATTCTAGATTAAAGTCGATTGCCTCGAACTTGAGACCCGTAGACATTTGAATTTTTTCCCATTCGTTGCATTTGATATTTGATATAGCTATCTCTGATTTTTGTAGCTCTTTTATTAAACCCTCAATGTTAGTCAGTTTTTGAATAACTTTTCGATTATTTTCATTATTTTTCTTGACAACTAAGAGTTATTTAGGGTTAGAATTAAAGATTGGGTATTTACAATCGTTTTGTTGGTTCTCGAAAAGCTTAAATCTTAAATTAATAATACAGTTCATAAATTGAAATACCTTTTCTCAATGATTTCTTTTTTTTCCTTGGCTTTTCTTTCTCAATAACCTCAGTAACAAATTCACCAGTTGCACTGGAAGAGTTTAGATATCGCGTGTTCATGGTACTTATGTTGTTATCATTAGTATTGTTATTATCGTTATTTGGTGATGTGAAAATACTGGTATTTGTTGTGGCGATGTTAATTGAAAAACTATTTGGAGCCGAATTGTAGCGTTGATGCATGGAATGTGATTTCAGCAACCTTTGTGAAGTGTCATTCATACTTTGCCTCCGAATACCATTTTCCCGTAACAGATCATGATCAGTATCATCACTTATATTATCAACTGTTTTAACTGAATTGGTTATATCAGTTAAAGTATGTGATTTGCCTTTAACCTTTGAAAATTAAGAAATTATGAGAAATACTTCCCAGAAATTAGAATAATGTTTAGATGCGGGAAAAGGAAGGTACATAACCGATTCCTTCTCCAGAATCAGTAGACCTTTACCAACTGCGCTTGACAGAATGAACCTGAAAAACATGCAAGCAATAACCGAGGGCAAACCCAGCAAGCCCCAAGCGAGAGCGCTGTGCTTTAACGACAAACGTGCACCAAATACAGGAGACATACTTACCCTCTTCTTATTATTTTTCCTATTCAACAAACATTTTACAGTATCATGTACTTTTTCTGAGGCACTTATATCGTCTCTAATTATATAGAGAACGTTATAAAATACCCCATTATTTTCCGTTTGACCGAATTTATCAAACACCCAGGAAGTAAAATGTTCAAAAGACCACTTTTCGTAGGGAACTAACTCAAAGTATTGAATTTTCCCCTTCTTTAATTCTTTAAAATAATAGAAATAATAGAATATTTTGTTCTAAGAAGAGAATTTTCATACAAGTTGGTATAACATACTTACCATATGAGGAATCACAGCTTTCGGTTAAAAGAGAATTATTTTCGGTTGCAGGAGCAGACATGGCCAGGATTGTAAAAGATAATTCCGGAATGTGTTAAAAAGAAAACAAATATATAGAGATACGTAATATGTGCACATAACAGATAATCCGCAGTTTGCTGGACGCGTACATCAAAAAAAATGTCACGAAAAATCACGTGATATTTTCATCACTTTTCCATTTTTTGATGGGTACGCAGCATAGCGAACTTAAACCTGATTGGTTGATTTTCAAAATGATCGTCACATATTAAATTCATATAAAAAAATGATCATCTAACTTTAAATGGATTCGCAGCCACGGGGAGGAATTCGCCAAGGTTACAATAAAAAATTTTCTAAAGTATATATCTTGTTTTATTGCATAATAAAATAATTCGAGAAGAAGTTTGGTAATTCAGAAGTTAGCTAATAAGAGTTTTTTTCTATTTTGTTGTAATAGGCGATTTTATTAAAGAAATACATGTAAAATGTCTACACAGAAAGTCTGTGAAGAAATAACTATCACAAATGAAAAAAAGGAAAAAAGGAAGGTTCAATATTGTGATTTAAAAGGTCAGGATAATGTTGCCTGCAATTATGAAAAGCATAGGGCATCTATTATATCTGAACAAGTAACAATACCAAGTTTAAGTCAACATCTGAACTTGGTTGGCAAGGCTTTATGCCGAAAGCACTATAATAAATTGATAGTAAATATAAAAAAGCCAAAACCTAACCCATATTCTCATCCAAAATACAATTTATATATATCTACAGCCAGAAATGGTAAGAAGGGAAAGAAATTAAAGAAGGCACTGGAACGATTAATTAAATTTTTTGACCTTCTACTGGAGGCAAATATATATCACCACTACTTATATAGAACTGATAAGGATCCAGAATATCAAAATATATCTGATTATCTGCCAGCAAATAAAAGGATTATGAAAGAGAATTTAAGACAATTTAAGGGTAGGTCATATGTTTTGTGCAGCAATATTATTTATTCTGAATCCCAATTTCAGGAACTGGAAGCTGAATATAACAATGTATGTATAAAACTTGATGAAGTAAAGTTAGGTAAGTAACTAAATACATTTTTGTATGTAATTGTTTCTAGACTGCTTCTTACATAATCAATATATTTTAGAATTAATTCTTCTCAGCAAAAAGATTAAACTAATAGCAGGGATATTGTATACAAAGCAATGTGTGTATAATGAATAACCTATTCTAGATCTGAATGAATTCAAGAAAATGTTTAAGAAGGCCAAACCATCATTGAAGGGATTTTTGATCAGTTAGTAGCTGGAACAAATCCGCAAACTAAAAATAATATGACTAATAAAAAAAATAAAAGTAAACTGGTTTTTTTTTGCTATTTTTTAGTGGGACTCAATAATAAGTTTATTAATAGGATTAAAGCAGAGGTTGGATTTATGTTAGACACATCTGAAACATCTTCATTAGCAATAGAAAAATTAGCTAGTGCGGGTTTGACAGTAAGACGAATGACAATTATAAGACAAAAAGCACAGCATTCAGAAGCATATATAATAACAGTAGGAAGGTTTTTAACAGACAATATATGTATAAGAATATTTATTTATATGAGTGTTGTATTCATAATTAATCTAATTAAATTAACTAACTATCTTTTAAACAGAATGAAAAC